CTTTGGAAAGGACCGATTTTCAAAATAGCATCTTGAACTTAACAAGGAAAGTGCGAGGGATAACAGCTCAGGCCAGAAAACATCGCACGCTTGCATTAAATCTGTCATTTGGCACAATGTCACAGTGGGCTGAATTTTACAAGTTAAGCTGAATTAGCATCGGGAAGGAAAGCAGGCAGGTGGACCTGTATGTTAAGGGTGCTATGTCATTGGTGCCATCCTTACTGCCAGCCCATTTCCTCTACCATGATGTTATGAGCAGCAGGGGAGGCATCCATTGGGCTGCCTGCCCATGGCCCATTTAGAACCTTCATCAAGGGTTTAAATGCCCAAATAAGAATTTCGTTTCACTCTAATTTTTGAAGCAGTGGAAAAATCTAGAGCTCAATCTGCTGACTGGCAGGTTTAGCCCAGCAATCTTTTGGCCAGTGAAACAGTTGGATTGGGGGCATGGATAGCACCCAGCACCCCAAGTGCTAATTCCCTTTCCCAGCTTGGTCTCCATTCATCTTTGCACCCCCTCATACTTATCCAATATGTGCCACCATCCACTCCTAACCCCACGCCCATTTGCCATTGCCTGTGGGCCTGGCTCCAGAGATCTTGTGGATGTACCTGAGTGTCAGAATCCAGTGCAGAGTGCCACCTTCTTGTCCTACCTGCAGTACCGGCATTGGCCACTGCTCTTGTCGGTGCTGCCATCATACAGTGATGACAGTGTTCGATTGGCTGGCAGTCGTGTGAGGTGGAATTTCCTCCTGGAAATGGTTGGAGGTCATGCATCATACTGATTGAAGGATTGTCACTTAAAGAAATAAAGTGGGTAAGTCAGCAAGACAGAAGTTCACGTTGTAGTGTGGAACCTACCCTCAGGAGTAGGGCGGCACAGTGGCTCAGTGGTTAGCGCTATTACCTCACAGTGCTAGGGAGCCACTTTCAACTCCACCCTTGGGTGACTGTGTGGAGTTTGTACATTTTCCCTGTGTCTGCGTGGGGTTCCTCCTGAGTGCTCCGGTTTTCTCCCACAGTCCAATGGTGTGCAGGTTAGGTGGATTGGCCATGCTAAATTACCCATAGTATCTAGGGATGTGCAGGCTAGATGGATTAACCATGGCAAATGCAGGGTTATAGGGTAGAGGTGGGCCTGAGATGCCCTTCAGAGGGTTGGCGTGGACTCGATGGGCCGATTGGCCTGCTTCCACACTCCAGCTCCATTTCTCAGACCTGAGAAGAAGATCACATTTCTCTCTGTTACAGTTGGTGAGCAGCCCAGCCAGACTGGGTGGAAAATTAGGGTCTGAAGATATGTCAATTATAGTTTCTGAAACTATATTCAAAATGTGTATTTGGGCTTGACGGAAATGAGGGATTTTGTCCAAACATAGCACCACCAGACTATTGGTACCCCTATCCTTCAAGTACCATGGGATAGAACTTGTCTAAAAAAAAATCTTTATTTGCTGTAACAACTTTGTGATGAGAACTTCATTATCTCTTTTTGGTTTTGCATCTAACATAAACAGATTTTCCTTGATATGGAACTATTATTGCCTTGAAGAATCCTTTTCTGCCACACTATCAGCAGTCTTCTCTTTTTGTGTAGCGTTATCGTGTACCCCTCCCTCAGTTCCATTTTCTAGTTCTTCTTTCATTGCAGAAATGTATTGTGTATCGGACATAATAAACCTTGTTGACAAGAAAAACCTTATTGCAATGGAAAGGATTTCACCAGACATTTTAATTCTCCATCTCTTTCCCAATCTATCCTCTCTGATTTGTCATCCAATATTGTTCCAATTAAACTCAACATAAGTTTAAGGAATAGGACCTCATCTTTTGATTAGACACTTTATGGCCCATTGGGCACATTATCTGGCCAAGTGCCCAGTAATTTCATCCGCCGTCCTGGAGAGAAGCAACATGGGTCCCACCAATTTTCCAGATGGTGACTGGGACCCTTGTTGCAGATAAATTCCACCTGTTAACTCCATTTCTGTCACGCCACAGCTGCTGCATGGTCTGGTGAATGCAGATTTGATGTGCCGAATGGCCTAATTCTGCTCTGATATCTTATGGTCTTACAGTCTTAGTTTCTGTTTCTCCTTTATCATCCATGCAAAATAATTTGCTGAATATTTTCTTAGTGGAAAATGGGTAATCGATCTTTACAACTGCTCAGTTAGAATTGAAGTTTCAGACAAGGTTTATTGAGACCTGAAGCCTCTGGTTGGTTTGCGAGTCGCATGTGCAACCTGTCTCTTTTCTACAGGCTTTAGGTCAGGTAGATGACTTTTTGTATAAATTCTAAACGTTAGAACAAATATAATTCTTGACATGTCTGATTTGTGCCTCATATTCCACCCAAAATGCCACAAAAGCCCCTTTATTTACTCCAGAGAGAATTGCAGAATTCCTGATCCTTTGGCTCTGAATTTCTTGAGGCCTGCCCTTTTGATGCAAGTGCAGTACAGTGGAACCCCCATGTGTCTATGCTAGTAACTGCACAGTACGACTCATGTTGGAGTGCTGGGGCAGTTACTAGCAATGGTGGAGGTAAATTGTAACTGCAAGGGTGCTTCAGTAGCACCTGCCTCAACCTGCCTTTTTGGACTGTCAGAGGGCCTCAAAATTATTCTAATGGCAGAGAAGAGACAAATGAGATTCCAAACGTCCTCCCTCCAGCCTTCTGTTCTCAGTTGACACATGCAGGCCTCTTGAAGAATCTCTGAGATGAATTGCCTTAAGAGGATTGGGGCGGGGAGGTTTATCTGAGGAGTGAATTCCATTTATGGCTTCATAGGATTCTTGAAGTAGCCCCAGACATTGAGCGCATTGATAGGTCTGCCCACGACTCATCTACCCTGCCTCCCAACTCGAATCATTTCATAGAATCATAGCATAGCTACAGTGTGGAAGCTGGTCATTCAGCCCATCGAGCCCACACTGCCCCTCTGAAGAACATCCCACAAGATCCAATCCCTACCCTATTCCCATAACCCTGCATTTCCCATGGCCAGTCCCCTAACCTGCATGTCTTTGGACTGTGGGATGAAATGAGAGCACCCAGAAGAAACTCATGCAGACACGAGGAGAATGTGCAAACTTGACACAGACAGTTACCCAAGGCTGGAATTGAACATGGATCCCTGGCGCTGTGAGGCAGCAGTGCTAACTACTGAGCCAGAATTTAAAGGATTTGCAATCAGAGTGGAATCCTTGAAGTACTGTAACCTGTAAGACCAAAAGCTAGAAAATAGGATCAGGCTTGATGGCTGCTACTTGGCTGGACATGATGGGCTGAATGGCCTTCTCCCCTATTGCTAATTTATTCAATGCTGTGAACATATGATTGTATGCAGAAGTTTTTAAAATTCCTGATCCTGTCATTCAACCCTCTTGGAATTTTTGTCTTTTCTGCCTTTTTTTTAAAGTATCCTATATTTAATTAACTGTTTACTTTCAATGCATTAAATAGAAATCATTGAAGGTTCAGACCAATTGAAAGTGTGACTGCGTAAACCATTGGTGCAAAAACATGCCTCAGTGTTGACTTAGGATCTTTGTTAGTGTAGATTTGGGCAATGCTGAGTTTTTAAAATAAGGGTAGCCTTTAAAAGTTCCATGTCAATAGATAATCTTTTACTCTGTTCCCTTCTTGGAAGGATTTCCAGCTCATACGAAAGGGAAGCAATTCAGTGCCTTTTGGCTCAAGGGCTTTCTCTGAACAGTATTCAGACTTGGGCAGTCTATTTATATTGGAACCTATTTGTTGTACTCAACGTGACACTGGATTTCACTTATGAAATTGGTCGTTTGCCCCTCACCACCTCAACCCCCTCACAGCTGCACTCCACCATCCTCAGTTCAGTTTCAGTTCTATTCTGTGGACTTGAGTCTTCACTGAACCATCAAACGAGTCCGCCTGGCTGCCTCTCTGATCTCCTCAAAATTTAACTAGACTTATGGTCATCTCCAAATGGTTCCATTTTGCTTTCTGTTTCTCCTCTGTAAAGCATTCATAGAGTATTTCCTATGTTAAGCCACTGCATAAGTTACAATTGTCGCTGTGACTGGAGCCTCTTACTTGTCATGAAAACTGGATGCTTTCAGGGTCAACAGTTTGAAATACTTTTAAAGTGTTATCTTCTTGCTCACAGCACCCTATTCAGTGTGTGTGAGAGCCTCCAAAGGTAACTTTATATATTTAATGAAATGAATGGAACTGCCCAGATCTGGCAGTTGTCCTGCTGGGTTATACTCCCACTGAAAATGCACTTGTATCAGAAATTTTACATTCACATTGCCACATTGTGGCAATCATTTGGTTTGTGCTGATTTCGAGAGAATGAGCGTGTGTATGGGATCTTCCAAAGTTCTTGACACTGAGGTTGGATGAGTAAGAGAAAGAGCTACAGCATTGTAGACTGATTTTCCAACAGTGCTTTCTGTAAGAATGCTTCTTATCGGGAATGCAATGTTGCAGCACAACCTTGGGACTTTATTATTTTGAAATACAATTGTTGGTTTTGATACATGAGCAGATGAGGGAAAGATCATCAAACCAAACTGGTCAGATTTTCTGCAATGTGTCAAGGACTTTTAAGAATTACATTATGCAGGTGAACATGTCTTCTCTTCAGACAAACTGTGGTTGTGTGCTCAGTACGTATTAGATGCCATTTACACAGGCAATAGTAAAACCCTCACAACCAGGTAAATAGATTGTTAATAATGAGCTTACTGATGTGAGAAAGCTGAATATCGCTTGAATTTCCATCTTTGTTGTCTAAGTGTAATGAGTTTTGTAAAGATGGTTGAAGAATGCTTCCTTTCTTGTGCCACCCCCATTTTCCCCTTCAGCCTGGAGGTTCCAGTCACACTGCTCCAATTTCTTCAACCTTTTTCTCCAGAACTTTGACACCAGATGCACGTAATCCACATTGAATGCAGAAATATAGAAGTGAAGTGACTCTCTGGTTACCTCCTGGTTTTCTTCACAGGTGACTGCTGGCTTCTGGCTGCTATTGCATCGCTGACTCTGAATAATGAGGTTCTCTGCAAGGTTGTTCCCAGTGGACAAGAATTTGACTCTGAATATGCCGGAATCTTCCATTTCCAGGCAAGCACTGCTAATTTTATATTTTGCTGAGAGGCAGGAATGAACGGCAATGAAAGAAATTTTGTTTCTAATTGAAAGTTAAGAGAGCTTTATCAGAAGCATATGTTGGGTATATGTGATGGGACAAGTAACAGGGCAAAGAGGAGTATGTGCAAGACTAAGAGACGAAGGAGAGATAAGAAGGGAGACTGAATGAGGGGAACAAGAACTGACAAGGCACATTGAGAGGGAGTGAAAATTGGTGGCCATACATCTTCAAGAGTGCAATGAACGTAGTAGTTAGAACACAAAACCCTATTGGCCAAAGAGTTGGTTACTATTTCTCTTCCAAATGAACAGTAGACCTAATATCTGTGCACATTGTTTCAATATCCTTTTGTTCCCCGTATATCTATGGAACTCATAATGGACCTCTTAATCTTACAAAAGAGTTCTGTTTTTATCAATTCTGTTCCCTTTGATAACTTTAAACATGAGGGAAAAATCTTCTATTGGAACAAGCAGTTCCAACTGGAGCACTAAGATGCAGAATTTGGAAAGTATTCAGAGCCACTGAAACTGACAGAATGTAAGTATTATTTGGATTGTTGGACTATTTTGAGTGATGTGAGTTCTATTCCTGCAGTGCGATAACCTCTTGATGTTCTTGTTCAGTTCTGGCAGTATGGCGAATGGGTGGATGTGGTAATTGATGACAGGTTGCCCACAAAGGATGATCAGCTGATGTTTGTGCACTCCGCTTCTGGCAATGAGTTTTGGAGTGCCCTGCTGGAGAAAGCGTACTCAAAGTAAGTTAATTATGGCCATTGTCTGGTTCTTTGGTTCTTTCTAGGGATATGAAAATAGTGGTTTCCGTCTTAACAGCTATCGATTTGCTCATTTACTTCTGATGCCTGTGTAACTCTTTTCTCTTGGGAAGTGGGTGAATGTATCTCTAGCTTAGAGCCATTAGAAGCTGACCATTTTGGATTGTAACCAATTCTATCAAGCAAGTTGCAAGGGCGTACACTTTATTTTGCTGTTATAATTACCTCGCCCTGATGGAATCATTGGAACCCAACTGCAATTTTAACTTAAGAGTTTGAATGAGAAGCTGCAATAGGACTCTCACTAACTGGAGATCATTAGAAAGGGCCTGATCATGTCTAAACTTTATTTGTAGATTTCATTGTGTGAGGGGGTTAGGAGAAGGAGTTCCTCTGGATCCTGAACAGAAATCCTTTATCTTGTGCTGCCCAGAATTCTCCTGCACCCCATCTGATTGCTACCTACAATAACATTATGTGGTGTATCAATTGTAGCTTTTGTGAATGTGATTGCCCTGCTGCTTTTTGCTAAATTCTACTTTCTTCAGTGGGAAGCTGCTGTCTGATACAGGGCTGAAACATGCCATTTGATTCTCATTGAGTTGGATTAATTGCAATTTACCCATTTTCCCAGGTTAAATGGATCATATGAAGCACTCTCTGGAGGATCCACCACTGAAGGGTTTGAAGATTTTACAGGAGGAATTGCAGAGTGGTACGAATTAGACAAAGCACCAAGCAACCTCTTTAAAATCATTAAAAAGGCACTAAGATGCGGCTCACTCCTTGGCTGTTCGATTAATGTGAGTCTCTAATTAAAACAAAATATCATTAGAACTCCTCATTCATAGGTACGATGAAGACTCAGAGGTTCAATAGGGGACTGTACAGGTTTTCCTCCAGGATGGTATGCTGCCTCCCTGGAATAGCCAGTGATCATAGTCCATATTTTTACCAGTAATATAAGGAGAAAAAAGGAAATGATCTTACAATCCGAGTTTAAGGAGCTATATAGAAAATGAGCAGGTGGGACTTCAAATGCAATAATCTGATTAACTCTCGGCACCACATGCAAAAGAAATAGTAAAGAAATAGGAAAGAGAGCAGATGAATGCATGGCTGGATGGAGAGATGGTGCTGAAGGGAGGGCCTCAAATTCTTGTGATATCAGAATCAGTTTGTGGGGGAGGTAGAACATGTAGAGGCCAGAGTAGTTGCACCTAAGTAGAGCCAGGACCACCATTCCCTATAAGCTCCATGAGCATCCATGCAGTCACTGGGGAGTTTCATGTATACTGATTAGTGTACCAGTGTATGGCTGCTTCTTCAAGGAGCTGCTCCTGCACGTGAAATTTGGAGATCTGTGCAGTGGAAAAAAAATTAGAGGAAATGTTGGCAAGACAAAGTTCCTTGTGGCACTGTTTGCCAATACAACTGGGCAGTGTTTAGACTAATATGGTAGGGGTGCGGGAATCATGAGATACAGGGGTTCCTGCTATAACGCGTGTTCCGGCAACGCGAATTGGCTGTAACGCGACTGAAAGGTAAGGGAACGCTATTTCTAAAATGCAAGCTTGTGTTGGCTACAACACGATTCCATCAGTGTGCATCGACATCACGTGATCATTTCGTGGGCTTTGTCCTGAGCACTGCAATTTTAGCACCAAAAGAGTCTCCACGATGGCACCATGCGATTATTGTGCTTTCTGTCTGAGTAAGTACTCCTTTTAATTTGCAAATTCTGCCATGTTACCCACAAAAATGCAAGGAAAAAGTGACAAGAATGTTAGCAAGAAGTGTCCTACTGATAAAATTGCAGGTAATGAACGTAAAAGGCTGTAACACTAGAAGGGAAGCTAGATGTTATAAAGCATTTTGAGAGAACATATGATATAGTTCATGTAACAGGAATAAAGGAGTCTATCTTACATACCATTAGAGAAAGTGCAGAAAAGATTAAAGCAAGCTGTATTACTGGAACAAGTCTGAGTGCTAGCAAATCTGTGACGTCACGGACAAAGAAACTTGTGGAGATGGAGCAACATCTAAGTGTGTGGATAGAAGATCAAATGGAAAAACAATCTGAGACCATCCTTCTCACCATAAAAGAGAACGCCTTATCAATTTATGAAGATCTAACAAAAAAGAGCTGAAAATCCTGCAGATGTGCCTGTCTTTAATGCTAGCAGTGGCTGGTTTGCTGGTTTTAAGAACTGCTATGCTTTTCATAACATAAAGTTATGTGGCGAAGCTGCCAGTGCAGACAAGGAGCATGCGATGGCATTTCTTCCCACAGTAAAAAAATTAATTGACAAAGGAGGCTACAACTTAGATCAAATTTTCGATTTGGATGAGATAGGTTTATACTGGAAGCGAATGCTATCAAGAACCTATATTTCTATGAATGAAGCACACGCTGCAGCCCTTTAAGGTGGCAAAGGATCATATGACTGTGCTGCTGGGTATCAACGCTAGTGGAGACTTAAAGCTTAAGCTTGTGGTGGTATACCACTCTGCCAACCTGCGAGCCTTAAAAGGTTACCTTAAGTCTACTCTAGGCGTTTACTTTAGGCCAAGCAAAAGAGGGTGGATGACAGGGCAAATTTTTTCTGACCTTATTGTTGATGTTTTGGAAGATGTTTTTACAAAGTATTGCAGGAAAAAAAAAATGGATTTCAAGATTTCCTCATCCTGGATAATGTGCCATGCCATCCTCCCACCATTGGTGAGCTTTCTGAAAACATCACAAAGTGTTATTTCTACCTCCAAACACAACCTTTCTCCTTCAACCCATGGACCAGGATGCAAGAGCAGCTTTTAAAACTTATTATTTAAGGCTCATATTTAAGAGGCTGATTGTAGCCACTGATGGAGATAAGGACAGTGTTCTTCAATTTTGGAAAAGCTTTAACATCAAGAATGCATTTGACGTTATCATGGAGGCCTGGGGTGATGTCAGTAAGGACTGCTTACATGCAGTTTGGTGGAAGCTTCTCCTAGATCTATTTCAAGATTTTAAAACCTTTGATCCATCAGAGGAGCTCCCAAGAATCAAAGAACATTGTGTTGATCTTGCAAAGCAAGTTGGATTTGAAGAAGTGGAGAGTGAGGATGTTGAAGAGCTGCTTAGTTCCCACAGTGAAGACCTCTCTGCAGCTGACCTACAACAGCTTGTCACTGAGGGGGAAGTGGAAGCTGGAGATAAAGAAGATGAAGTCCAGGATGCAGCACCACAAGAACTTTCCACTTCTGTTCTGTGTTCTATCCTGAGGGAAATTGATAAGCAGTTGCAGTTCTTGGAGGACAACGATTACAAGGCAGAATGCACCAGGGTAGCAGTTTGTTGAATAAGATCTTACTTGGCACCCTGTTAACAGCTTCTTCATGAAAGAAGAAAAAGGGCAAAGCAGCAAAAACTGGATGTCTTTCTTAAGCCAACCCTAAAAAACATTCAGAAGACAATGAACCGCAGCTATCCACTTCTGGTCTATTTTTCACCCTAACCCTGCAACCACAACTGCACCTGATGATGATGATGACGACGATGACGACTCTCAGTCCCTACATTAACAACAGAGTGACTTCAAAACCTCCTCTCCCATCAAGTCATTTTTACATTTTTTTTTAAAATAAGGTCTAAATTTACTTTTATTGCATTATTAGATATGAATAAAACGTTTATTCAAATTGTTCTATCCTTTGTGCTAGGTTTTTGAGTGATATTTTTTGGTGATCTGCCCCAACCCCAGTTTTCCCATAGGCCCCGTTATTTCCATTGTGCAATTTTCTATAACACAATGTTGCGTCGCATTATGGCAGAACCAGCTGTAATTCCAGAGAGGGGATACCAAGTCACAAACAATATTGAGAGAGAGACAGATAGCATTATGTTAGAAATATTAAGGAAAGAGGTTCTGGGGAGGTTACAGTACACGCATGTGAATTTTGCAGAGTGTGATAAATAGGATTGGTCAGTTGCAGATTGACTTGTGCAATTCAACACTACAGTGATAACAGAGACTTGTCTCAAAGAAGGTCATTAAATATTCCTGGTGTAGGTGTGTAGGAAAGGAGGAGGTGTGACAGAATTGACTGAAGAGAACGTTATAGTCCTGGGAAGAAAGAGGGAGATTTCTACTGGGGTCACAGACAGAATCTATTTGGCTAGAGCTAAAAAGCAAAACAAGGAAGCATTGCTCAGTGTAATCTGTAGATCACCTACTAATGGTGAAGATGTAGAGGAGCAAATTTGCAAGGATATTAAAGAAGTGCAAGAATTATTGAGTAATTGTAATAGGAGGCTTTAATTGGCTGCAAATAGACTGTGTGTTGTGTAAGGGGCAGAGATGGGCAAGGGTCCTTAGAGTGCGTGCAGGAAAATTTTCTAAAGCAATAAGTTTCCAGTTTGACGAGAAAGTAAGCATTGATGGATGAGTATTGGAAGAGAGATATGCAAAGTGGATACATGTCAGTAGGGGACATTTAGGGTCAGAGATAGTAAGAACTGCCGATGCTGGAGTCTCAGATAACACTGTGTGGAGCTG